TCACATTTGACCAACCAGCTTGTGTATCGTATCGTATCGTATCGCATCGCATCGCATGCACCTTCCTAGTTTACGCTGTATAAAATGTCACCGGTCACTGTTACCGCTTGGTTGGCTAGCTGGTGGAGAAAATGAGACACTGAAGCATCCCGTCCTTGGTAGGTATCAGATCGGGTTACAGTTCTTTTCGGGAGTGAATCGTAGTTAATAGTCGGAAGCATTTTGTCCAGATCCAACTTACTATTTTGAAATATCCCCATGAAAATCACTCAAGTTAATAAGCAAGTAACACCCGACTATCGGTTCATCTCGGCTGGAGTTGATCACACCAAGATGCGTCACGATGAAAAAGTTAGAAAAGATCCATTACAAATTACTTTACCCACGAACAAACGCTTACTACTTGCCTGTTGTTCCTTATTTTCCTAGACCGGGTACACAGTCAGACTGGGAGATAACCGAGCTAAAGCACACATTTTTGGTGATTTTCGATGTCTGAATTCACTTGCGCACTTTTTTTTCTATACTAATTATGAAATATTTCTAACAAAACAACAGAGTGGCGAACAAGCTCATTTTCAGAGATTCGTATTCATGCCAATACATCTCAGTACATATATTACTAATTGGGAATAAAATTCTCATGGGAAAATAAAATAAAATAAAAACAGATTACTAAAACCGATTTCATCGTGAGACCGGAAATCGGGTTCACCATGATCACATGTTTGGTTGTCCACTGATCCGACCATCGAGGTTACTCACGATGCGGTTTGTATGGGGGGAAAATGTATTGGCATGAATACGAATCTCTGAAAACGAGCTTGTTCTCCACTCTGTTGTTTTGTTTGAAATGATGAAATACTTCCAGGAGCACAATGCTGAAAGTTCACCCCATTCGCAAGGTAGTTGGAAGCCATTCTGGACTTAGATAAAAATTTATTAATCGTTTCTATGGCGATTGTGAGAAGTTCAGTAGCCTCGGTGGAATTCGAACCCACGTATGGACGCTGCCTACGCTTTTGTACAGCGCACACTCTAGTAGCGGAGTGAGCTACGAGACCACACTGACAGAACACTGATCTTTTCACATTGGAATTACCCATCCAACTTTCAGAGGCATATGGCATCCACCAATTAGCATGTAAGCTGACTGCTATCGATGTGGCCTCGTAGCTCAGCTGGCAGAGTGTGTGCTGTACAAAACTGTAGGCGGCGTCCATTCGTCGGTTCGAATCCCATCGAGGCTACTGAACTTTTCATAATCGCCATAGAAAATTCAAATGTGTCAAACATCCATTTGCACATTAATCATTTATCAATCTGGATCTTTTATTTTTTGGGTGTCAAAAATACACTTATTGGGGGTGTATTCTATTCTGTAGCACTTCTCTTATGTCTATACGATCGTGAATCTTGGAGTTCAACTTACTTTTTCAAAAATAAAGTAAGTCGCACTTGGAGTATGAGACAGATGGTCTGGTTTCAGTTACCAATCTCTTCGCAATACTATGCCATTAGTGTTATCACAAACAAATCCGATAGGCTATGGTAATTTCTGGGATGCCAGTGTGAGACAGAGACGGATGGATCGCCACAGAGGGTAGGGAAAAAGACCCTGACCAGTGAACTTGCTTATATAGGTCGCGTTAAGCTTTCTGCAAGGGTGAACCTCGGGACCGGTTAGTCAGGGAAACCTGGTGATATGTCTGAGTGTCGTAAACAGTGGCACCCGTGCATCTGCCTCATATCCTTGCAACTGTATTATTCATAAATTCTCTATTTTCACCCTGACGCTGATTTGATCATTCCCGTCTGCTTTTGGTTCTTTCATCCATATGGGAAACCATGAGACAGCAACGAACGAACCGCCACATGAAAGTTCACGTTTAATGGTTTTAAAAACGGACACCATAAACCGACTTTTCTGGTCGGTGCACCTGCTTGACGTATGTTCTGTCAACCGTTAGACAGTTAACAAATCATGAATTTTCGGCTCTCCAAACTCACGAAATCCCGAAAAGACAGCCGCCGTAGGATGTTACGGAAGCTGTGAAAAAGCTAGCAGAAGAAGTAGCGACACTGAAATCAAACTATGGAGTAAGAAAGAACAGGAATGTGTGCTTTCAATGCAGCAAACTGGGCCACTGGCGGAGGCATTGCCCAGAAGAATACAAAAAATGTTCTCTCGGGAAATGGTTTACGCAGAACACACCCGTTGCGTCAAACAAGGCTATAATAGAAGCAGTGAATCGCGGTGCACTCCAGACCCGATTGGAGATACAGTGTCGGAAAGAGCTATGCCTAATCACTGGTGCGGCAATATCGTTGGCGAGACCCCAAGCAAATGGAACACTGGAACCATGGAATACAGCTGTGAAAACAGTCGGTGGTTACCAGTTAGACGGAGTATCCAAGCGGACAGTCCGCGTTGGAAACAAGATAATTAATCATCCATTTGTCATATCAAAAGACACGAACCAGACTATAGTGAGAGGAAATATCTTGCACAATTTAAGGGCCGTGGTTGATATGAACAACGAACGGCTTGTTACCAAATTCGGCAAGATCCTCGATCAATCTTTTGGAAATATAACAGCTTCATGATGTCGTATTACTAACATCATTCAAAGCTGGTTTACCACTCATTCGCCCAATCCAGAGTTGGAGATGAACTAATGGTATCTAATCCGACCGTTTCGTTTGAGATTGCGTCTCTGTAGCTTTTACCAACCCAGGTGGAGCAGTATGGCATCTGGGTTACCCCCTCCTGGTGCTGTTCAGTCGAGTAAATCAAGTACGATGGGAGCGATGGTGGTAGTGTTTTAATTCTGCAAAGTGGTGCTCGGCTGAGGATAGTTGTTTATTGAGGATTACAATTGGGACATCACTAATTTGGCATACATAACACAAATCTCATCAGAAATATATCATTGTCGTTCCTGGCCACAGAACGGGTAATGAATGAAGCAATCGATAGTTATTCTTTGAGATACATCAATTTGCCCTCGGTGATCTTGCTGAATTTTGATCGTTGAAGTGAATCACTATGTTACCTACTACTCACAAATGTGAGTAGCACCTCATCACAGTACCAGTAGTAGTAGTGGTAGGTTGCAATCGCTACGTCTCAGTGCGGTCTACTGATATGTGGTGTTCTAGCCCGACGAGAACTCATCGCGTCCTGGTTCGCTGCTTTTGATCGTCCACGATCACTTGTCTCTGTAGCCTACTCACGGTTGGTCAGCAGATAAGCGATATA